ACGCCTGCTCCCATCCTAATTACTGGCATACCCCACAGAGAAAAAAAAAACACAGAAAGTGTTCTACTACACAGGCTATAATAATAATAATCATAATCATAATAAGAATGCTGTAAACGTGTAGCTGTAAAAATATAGAGACGTTTTATGTGTTCAGGATGATTAGCAGAGCTTATGATGACGATTCAATAATGCCTGAGAAATCTGTAGAACATTTAGTTTTAAGTCATAATAATATTAATATCTAGAGTGTCTCGTATTTGAAATGTAGTGATTAAAATGTATGCAGATAACTTAGCAAGAAATTACAATAAAATATTCTTGCTAAGTTATAATTAATAATTAAATAATTACATAATTAACAATTAAATACTAATTACTAATTAAATAATTACAGCATATTATTTACCATTTAATAACATTTTAAGATTCCTAAAATGATATATTAAGTTAAACATCTTCCTGTGTCTTGAATTATGGAAATTCATTCTACACTGTAAATTAAATTTGAGTAAAATAACAGCAATTATAAACTGATTCTAAACACTAGCGTATGTTTAGGATTTCTGAATGTCCTCTTGATAGTAAATCTTCTTATTAGAAAACTGTTTTATACTCAGTACAAGTCCATCATTTACTTTACTGTATCTTTGATTGCATTTTACTGCTGCACAGATTCTACATAAAGATGATGTTGTTGTATCTATATCTCCTAAATGTGAGTATTAGGGTTCTCCTAAATGTGTGTGAATATTGGGAAGGAAAATTTAGCTAGTCTCTCCTATGAATGAGGTTATTACTGAGTATTTTACTCTCTCTGGATGTCTGGTTCCTATCAAAACCACTGTGAACACTTCTGACTTTGCAAGTTTCTCTAGAACAGAGCATTTCACAACACACCTTTAGTGAAATTTAGTGAATGTTTGGATTTACCACCTTGTTAAAAAAAAAAAAAAATGAACATAACAGAAATAATCCAGGCAAACAATCCAAAGGGCAAATACAAAAAGGCCAAAGAGTCCAAAAATACAGGAAACAGGTACAGTACACAGGTAGAACAATACAAGAAACAATACTCTGTAGCTCTATGGAAAAACACAATTCCTCACAAAGATCCATGCTAAAAGTCCAGGCTTATATACTAACTAAACAAGTCATAATAATCAGACACAGGTGATACACGACAACATTCAGGCAAAGAAGTACAGTAATTTGTTGGCGCTGATGGTGAGACTATCATGTGATCTCCCAGGGTGTTCTGTGAGATTGAGTCCACAGAGGAATGAGGTGTGCCAGTTATGTGATCTCCCAGGGGGTTTTGGGAGATCGAGTCCTTAACAAAAGCAAGGTCAGAGGGATGCATGGCAATGTTACATGTACCCTCTATATACCTGACTAATACATTGAAATTGGGAAAATGTAACTGTAAAAATGTTATCAAAATCACCTGCAATATTTTGTTTTTTGCAATAACAAACATACTGCAATATTGTATGCACATCAATTATCCCCACATTGAGGTAATTATGACTGACTGACTTGAGAAAGCTTTTTTTAAAGGGTGAATTAAGGCAGAAGTTTGATATTCTGGTTAGGGCTTCACAACATAGACAAAATCCCAAACTGCAATTGCATTGCTACATACTATAGTTCCAGTTCACCCTCTAATATATTGAAAACATCTTGGTAAGCATGTGGTGTGAGATGATTAAAAATTTACATTTGTTGGATCATGTGCTAGTTAGACCTCATGTAACTTGCTGTAATTTCCATGACCACAAAAAAGGGTCCACATAGCACCAAACACTTGGACCCAGAGTCTGATAATTCGATGATCCAGCCCTGGAGATAACTGAAACATCACTGAGTAGGGGTTAGACAGATCTACCGTGCACATATTGTCTCATACTTCTCTTTTTTGGGCTATGTGGATGTGCTGCAGGGAAAGTAAGCCAAATTTTGTTTTACCAAGGACCTATTTCTGTCAGTTGGACTGCATTTGATTTTTCTTTCACTCAGCATGAACTTTTGCTCGTTTTGTGTACTGAGAAAGACACACCATTAAAAAAAAAACTTCTGTTATTTTTTATTATTTTTATTATTTTATTATGAGTCATTCACAATAAATCTCACTTCTTACACTTCAAATCAAATGAAAGGCAAAGGCAAGAACATTTGGTGAAAGCTATTACTGATGAGGTATTATGAGTCATTCCTAAAGAAAGAGACACTTGGGTGCATAGTAGTTGTGAAGGCTCATCAGTGACCAATGGAGCCACCAGCATACAAGAAGAACCACTTCATTCACATAATACCATGCCTCATCAAAGAAGCTCCTCATTCTTGTCAAACTCTGACTAGAATATTAAACTACTGCTCTAACACATACTCTAAACATCTTTTTCAACTCTTAGAGTGATAATTAGCTCATTTTGGAAAAACTTACTCGAGCTTGAATATTTGTAATATGTAAATTGTATTTCCTGCTTTTGTAACAGCAGCTCGTATTGCATGAGGAATGAAACATAATTCCGCCAGGACACAGTGCATCAGGGAAATAGGTAACCACGGAGGGCTGTTGTGGCATGCATACGAAAATTTTGAATATTCATTTTATACTTGATTAACATTAAAAATAATAAGCCTGTAACTTGCCATTAGGCCATTGGTGCCTACCAAAACTTTTTATCTAGGGGGCCAAAGTGCAGTGTTTTTGGGCCAAAAAGGCCAAAGAATATACAAATAAAGAAGGAAGGTGGGTTTGAAACTGAGGTTTTAAAATGTAAATACATTACATTGTGTTTATTAATATTTTGAAATGTATTTTTAAAAATTTTGAAAAATAGAATTTAATATAATCTAAAAATAAGTTTGTTCACACGTCAAATGTAGTCAAGGACCATCTTTGGGCACTTTGAGTGGCAGACTAACTTAGTTAAACTTTAGTTACACTGCTGCACGCTCCGTCATTAAACATAAAATAATAACAGCACATTTTTTTTAATTCAAAAGCCCATGGGCACGGCAGCGAAGAGGAACGCAGGACAGAGAATAAACAACAAAATGAAAGATCGAGGGTACGCAAGGCTTGGAGTTCATCAAACCAACAGCCTTCATGCACTCTGGGCTAATGGAAGCGTACAAGCCGAGCTCGATCGTCCACTCCTATGTGGTCGATGTGCTTTTTACGCGGGAAAAAATAAAATTTGATCATCTGTTAATACTGGGGACACATTTCAGTTAAAACGTAAATGTAATCCGGCCGTCGCCACGTTTAATCTCCGTTTGCAACTTCCGGGTGCATACCCCCGTACCCCTTCATGTGTCTGGCAGAAAACGGAGACACTTCTGTTACGAGAGAATATTCGGGGCCTCTTTCGAGTGAATCTCCCAGTAGTATCAAAACTGCCCTTGAATTGAGGTCCTGCTTTTAATAAGTTGGTGCAGCACAAAATCACCATGTATACACTAAGCAATATACAAAGACCTCTCACTTTATACTTTAAGGAATGATCTAATTCTCTGTCTTACCTTTCGCTGACTGCAGGTGCTAGACATAACTCTCAATCTCCAGCACTTGCATCTTTAAACCGTGTGACTCTGCGTCTCCAGCCGCCACAATATCTGAACCCTTTTGTGCCACTTCGATGCAGCCTGCCAAAGTTTAGGACCATAGAGAGCAGCGGGCAGTCTGGAGCCTTCAGCTGCATAGCCAAAGAGCTAAGGACTGCACGAGTACGTTCCCACTGTGCGATAACGAGCCGCATCGTTTTCCACCGTGGACTCATCAGACTCCTGCCGAAGATTATGCTATTTCCAGCAGACATGAACCTCTCTCTTGCTCTTCCATAATCTCCTGCCGATTGAGCAGCCTGTGGACATCGCTGCACGCCGGCAACACTCTGACCTACCTAGATCCCATTACCACAATTCCAACGGACGCTGGGTTCCTCCTTAACATAGCCATAAATAGCCAACATCATACTTTTTCCTTCCGTTTTATTTCTTCACTGAGATCCTCATGATGTTTGTAAGCTTATGTGCCAAAAGCAGTTCTAGTCATTGTTACCCAAACATTTTCTAATCTCTTTAATCTTTTAGAGCTAGACACTGTTTTTGCAACCATGCCTTTAATGCATTTGTAGTACCGCCCTTTCATTAATTTAGTTTCCAGTCAAAACGGCCATTAAGTACAACGTATATATGCAGTCAGAAGAAAAAGCAGGAAACACCTTTAAGAGAAAATGACACAAGACTCTAACACTTAGTACAGTATCAAGTCTATCAGTCCTTCGTTTGTGCACACACTGCCACTGTAACTTTTCCATTCTTTAAATAATAATGTGTATCTGCCAAGAAGCAGCTACTGAAGAAAGGCTAAATCAGAAACTTTGTGCTAAAACACTGAAACTGGGCATCTGAGAAAAAGTGAAGCGAGGCTTTATGGACTGATCACTCCAAATTTGTAATCATGAGGCAACAACTAACATCAGATGTTTCATGTAATTTTCTGTTTAAAATGTTAGCTTTTTTCCTTTCTTTGAAAAAAATAATTTGTACTCTGATTTTCACACTGTACTGTATGTAAATGCTCAGATTATCTGCCCTCATTTACTTTACTCAAAAGGTGCACTCTGGAGTTTGGATTTTGAAGGACTACAGCACTGCACTATTTATGTAACTACACTTTTGCTTCCATAAACAACCTTTCAATGGATGGTTCTTTAAAGGACTATTTTTGTAAGTTACCTTTAAAGAACCTCCAAAGGTTCACACACCAGTGGGTTAGCAGTCTTGTCCACAAGAAGCAGGTATTTCTGCAGGTTTTCATTCTAACAATGCGAGTTTCTGCAAATGGAATGCTTAACAGCAAGCTAAAAGGGAAATCAGTCCACAGAATAATATATATATATATATATATATATATATATATATATATATATATATATATATATATATATATATATATATATATATATGAACTTTCTTTGACTATATCTTTCTTACTGTTAAACAGTACACAGCATTTACTTTTAACATTTTTGAACATTTGTTTGTGAACAAGTTTTGAGCATTTTTTAACTATCTGTAAATCATGTTTACCATCTGAGGTGCCAGTATTCCAAACATTAGACTGATGAGACAGTGAACTCTCACTTTACCAAACTCACAAAAGACACAAAATTACAAAACCTAATTTGTAAACTAAATATCTTACAAACAGGGTGCTATGCACATTGATCGGTATGGGATGGATTAAGCCTGCAGTAAACCCTTCCTCTTCGAAAATCAAGAAGAGCAGAAACCACATCTTTACAACAAAGAGAACAACTTTTTGCTCTGTAACCAAAGCACACACTGCACACAGCCACACCAGCTTTAATTAGCAGTGCAGTCTGAGGTGCCTGGTGCCTAGTAAATGTCATTCAAATTTCTGAATGTTTTAACTTTTACATTTATAGAATATTATCAAATGCATAATCGCTATCAGAACAAAAAACTGTACCAATGTTTTTGTATTATTTATTTTTTACAGAATACGAAAATGAGTTGCGTTTTACTTTTAAAGCTGTCTTTAAATTTCATGAAAAATGGAACAAATGCTCCAAAAATTGCTCAAAACAAATCTTGTTCAATGAACCCCCATTTAATGTTAAGGACGTTTTTTTTCCTTCTCCTGAAAAAGTTACTATTTCAGAGACACATTGGTTTTGTTGCGATAACGACGGTTTGTTGCAGCCCTAACTCTAGGCTCACCTGTGCTCAGAAAACCTCTTTCATACAAGAAACTAAAAATAACACCTGTTTAGATCGGATGACTTTTAAACAGGTTTTCTGTCATATGGTAATGCTGCCAAATGCATTGACATTACTGCCAAATAACAAAAATAATCAGAACAAACAATTGGCAATCACATATCAAACAAACATTTGAGGCTTTAAATAACATTCCTTAAGAAAAACAGCAATGCAGATATAAACGTTATAATATAAACATAGCATAAAAAGATTCAAAAGTTCTCCGTTCTTAGAAAAAATCTGCTGCTGTTGGTCTTCTCTTGGCTGTGGGTTTTTCCACACTGACAAATGGAAAGGAAGCACGTGACTTAAGCACACTGCACGTTGGTCTTTTTTTAGGGTCAAATGCCACACGGGATGAGCCGACAGGACTCACCAACAAACTATGATCCGTCTTCCTGAATTCTGAGAGATAAAAGAAACAAAACAGTGAGACTACGGAGGTATCACTGCAGAAAATGTTCAACAGATGATTAGTTTTTAAAAGACTTGTCTACTACCAATGTAACAGTTTCAATACATTATTGAAATCATAATGTGTACATAAAAATAAAACAGTATTGCTGATACATTCCTCAGTCTTTTCCCATCTCTCATTGGCCTTCTTTCATGGAAACCGTGGTCAATGATGTCAGAGTAAAGTGGACAGGAAGGGGGCAGGGCTTATGCTCAGCATAAAAACTCACATTCAAATGACCCACATATAAATTCTAGCAGCCGTGATTTTGAGGCTTATTTTGTGGCACCGGAAATGATTTGAGCCAAATGAATATATAAATGGAGCTCTGTAGAATACTTAAAATTTTGAAAATCAAATGTGATTTGACCTCACAATCAAAATATGTATATCTACTTTAGTACATCAGCCGCTGGTGCCAAAAAAATAATTGTTCAAAGCAACAAGATTTAAGCAGTGATTTACTGTATTTCATCCAAAACACAGCTGATCTGCTAAGACATGTTTGTTGTCCAAGCTTACTTTCAGCTTTGCAATGCAGCTACAAGACTTATGTAGCTAACAAGTAATAAAAGCTTGTGCCTTACCAGTTAGCAATGTGCTAGCTGTTTTTAAGTAGATGTTAACAGGGACACTGAAAAGTCAGTTTAGGACTTACCAGTTGTTTTGTTGTTCTTGAGTCCGAAGGTAACTTTTTTAGTTTCTGACTTTGAAGTCTGGAATGTCTGTAAAAGATTAAAAAAAACAAAAAAAAACAAAAAAAACAAAATTAAAATAGCTATAGAGGAAGGAAAAAAAAAAAAAACACAACTGTTAACCCCTGCGCCTTCAAATCAGTACGTTATCATTTAACACTATGTAAAGACTGAAAAAGCTGCCTGAAGTGAACGGTTGATTTAACCTAAATGTAATTCATTCTAAAAGTTGCAATTGTGCAGACCTCACCGTAATTCACTGACTGATGATGCTGAACTTCAGCCAGATACAATGATTAGGCTTCAAAATGGGCTAAAAATCACAGTATGTGCCTAGCTTAACTATACATCTGCAACAAAGTATCAGTGTCTAGAGTGGACAGAATGTTTAAAAACTTCAGCAGCACTTCTGATCCACTTGTAGCAGTGCAGCAACACACTGTGGTAAGTGGTCCTAGTAAACTGACACCTCTGTATATGACGCCTCAGTGCATACACTGCCTGTGACAAGTTTGTAGACACCTAGCTTTTCAAAAGGTTTCTAAGAAATGAGCATGCTTTATGTAGTCACTTTGCAGTAACTTAACATTAAACTGATGGAGAGTGATAAAAGCCTTACTTTAGTAACAAGGTCATGAGTTTTATCCCCTTAAACCGCCTCTGGACAGAAGTATTTTCAATATGTACTTTTAACACTAGTTTGGAAATAAACACTCAAATCTTACATTATATGAAGGAAGACACTTGATACACATGAAAGTGACTGTTCAAGCAAAAAATACCCAAACTAAACAGCACACAGCTGTTTTATGCTAACAGAACCTTTGCAATTTTTTAAACAGTGAAAAAAAAGCTAGGTGTCCTCAAACTTTTCACACATTATGGCCATCATGGGAATTACCTGATACAAGGCTCTTGGAGGGAATGATAAAGAAGCTTGGAACCTGACCTGCAAATGGACAAATGACAGCCATCTCCAACGAAAGCCTGAACTTTATCCCTACAGCCAGTTTCAGATCAATCTGCAAATTTTCACTGAACACTGAAATTGAACTTCTGAGTTTTCTTTTTCATGATGCTGAACTGCTACAATTCCACATGTAGAGTGCAGCTTATCTGGATAAAAATTGCTTAAAACGGCATACCTTGACGCTGGACAAAGGTGTACTGGGGCTGCCTTTAGTTTTAACTTTACAGAAGAGTGGAGAGGGGGCTTTTGTTTGACCCTGAAAGAAGACAAAGTCAGATTTGGATGAGGGGTTCTTCATCTTTAGCTTCTTTTTGGGCGTTACAGAAGCTGCAATCTCAGGATCCTAATGCAGAGAAACATATCAACATGTCTATTAAGTATTTGAAGTTAACATTTTAGAACAGTTTGTATACACTACAGCTGCACAATATAAAACAGGACAAAATGCCATATTACCATAACACCTTACTGACTGGTCTGTGTTATTGTGATTATAGCTAACACATTTTTGGGTATTGCTTAAAGGGGCAAAAATGAATAATGTAAGCAGTGCCTTCTATCTATTGCAAACACGCAAAAAAGATACACAATTGTGAATTCTGAACTGATGAGGCTGAGGGATGCAATATAACACTGCAGAATATGGTATAACATGAACTCTAACATTGAACTCTAGTTTTAGGCCAGAATGCCAATGTAAACGTTTTCATTTTCTTATTAAGTCCTCACACCAGAGCAATCAGCTAAGGGTGAGCCTCCAAGTCCAGCCCTACATTAATTTGGCCGAAGTACCTTTTTTTGGGCCTCATTTCATGTTTTTGCTCCCCATAGGTTAAACGTACACTATATTGCCATAAGTATTCACTCACCGATCCAAATCATTGAATTCAGGTGTTCCAATCACTTCCATGGCCACAGGTGTATAAAACCAAGCACCTAGGTATGCAGACTGCTTCTACAAACATTTGTGAAAGAATGGGCCGCTCTCAGGAGCTAAGTGAATTCCAGCATGGTACCGTGATAAGATGCCACCTGTGCAACAACTCCAGTCGTGAAATTCAATCGCTACAGACCTCCAAACTTCATGTGCCCTTCAGATTAGCTCAAGAACAGTGTGTAGAGAGCTTCATGGAATGGGTTTCCATGGCCGAGTAGCTGCATCCAAGCCTTACATCACCAAGCGCAATGCAAAGTCTCGAATGCAGTGGTGTAAAGCACGTCGCCACTGGACTTTAGAGCAGTGGAGATGTGTTCTCTTGAGTGACGAATCATGCTTCTCAGTCTGGCATACCGATGGACAAGTCTGGGTTTGGTGGTTGCCAGGAGAACAGTACTTGTCTGACTGCATTGTGCCAAGTGCAAAGTTCGGGGGAGGGGGGGATTATGGTGTGGGGTTGTTTTTCTGGAGTTGGGCTCGGCCCCTTAGTTCCAGTGAAAGGAACTCTTAATGCTTCAGCAGACCACAAGATTTTGGACAATTTCATGCTCTCAACTTTGTGGGAATAGTTTGGGGATGGCCCCTTCCTGTTCCAACATGACTGCGTACCAGTGCACAAAGCAAGGTCCATAAAGACATGGATGAGCGAGTTTGGTGTGGAAGAACTTGACTGGCCTGCACAGAGTCCTGACCTCAACCCGATAGAACACCTTTGGGATGAATTAGAGCGGAGACTGCGAGCCAGGCCTCAGTGTCCTTCCTACCTCACAAATGCGCTTTTGGAAGAATGGTCAAAGATTCCCATAAACACACTCCTAAACCTTGTGGAAAGAGTTGAAGCTGTTATAGCTGCAATGGGTGGGCCAACATCATATGAAACCCTACGGATTAAGAACGGGATGTCACTCAAGTTCATATGCATGTGAAGGCAGACAAGTGAATACTTTTGCCAATATAGTGTATATCAGTTTATTACCTCGAATATCAGAGTTAGCTGAAACGGCACATCCCTAGTGGGGACCTGCACTGCTGTGTAAGGTTCCTCGAATTTTGGGATAGCTTAGGTGACTCGTTTAGCAGCCTTCTGTGTTTCCAGGCCATTTTTTTCCGTGATTCATTTTTCATTATTGCCCATTTAAAGAAAAGATTTAAAACACAAAACACACATACAAACACACACACACACACACACACACACAAAGCACAAATAATGACAGTACACTGTGCATGCATGCACGCACGCACGCACACATTGATTATAGCTTCACCCACCTTCACAGTGTGTCCATTTATCTCAGATGTTTCCACTTCTGCCTGCATCTTCCTTTTCTTTTTACCCTTTTTCATTGGAGTGGTAGGACTACAGCCATTTTCTGCTGCAGCTTTCAGCTTCTGTTTACTCTTCTTTTTCAGCACTGGTTCCCCTATGGCTTCTACAGATTGACATTCTTCTTTCACATATACTGTCAGACCCACCAACTGCATTTTTTGTTTTTTCTGGGTTTTCTTTTTCCTCAGCATTGTACAAGCAGCCTCTACCTCAGCTTCAGCATCAAGTTCCTTCTCCTCTGATGACTCCTGTTTTGTTGTCTTCTTTTCTTTCTTCAGTGCCTTGGCTTCAGAGGCTTGACCTTCACCGGTGGGATCACTAGCCACCTCAGGTTCTTTGACCTCTAGGTGAACCTGGTTGATTTCTACAGAAATTTCTTTCAGTTTTTGCTTCTTGTTCTTTTTCTTCGTTGTAGAAGCATCTGACATCTGCTCTTCTGCATTAGTTGCATCAATGATGATGGTGGCTGAAGCATTATCCGTTGTTACATTAGATGTGTTTCTTTCCTTCGGTACTTTGTCAATATTTTGTACATCATCTATCCCTGCTTTGTCTTCTTCCTCCGTGGCTTTCTTTATCTTCTGCTTTTTCTTTTTCTTCAAAATACCATCTTCAGGGTACTCAGCAAGATTTTTTTCAACAAGTGACAAACTTGAATCTCCTGGCTTCTCATCCAATGCTTTAACATCTGGTCCAATTTCAGCTGCAATTTCTTCATGTACTGTTGGACTCTTCTGCTTCTTCTTTGCTGGGGCAGAAGCACTGACGTTTCTCATGTGTAAGACATTCATCAGCGTGCACTGGTTTGGGCTTGGTTCCTCACCATTATTTCTTTTATCTTTCTTTCCACTTTTTGTCCTTCCGCTAAGTTTTGTTTGTGCTTCGCTGTCCACGTCTTCCAGTTTGTCAGGACCAGGGCACTTTGTGACTTCAGTGTTTGTGTGGCAATTGTTATCAGCATCTTCATGTTCAGCAGCTTTTTCTTCCCCAAATTCCTGTAATTCTGACTTAAGGTTTTTACTTTTCCTGTTATTCCTGGCACTGGCCTTTAATTCGCTTTGAGAGCCTGGCTTGTTCCCCTGAAATCAGAGGAGGGCCATCGGATGTATATATGTTAGTGCAAACAGGATAAATGATACCACAATAAGCACTAAACTCTGAATAATAAGTAAAGTCAAGCTAAATGGTCATCATTCCTCAATCTAATGTGTACACTGGACCGAAATGTCATTCTTCAGGCCCTCAACACACAGCAGCAGCACCACACATACACACACCGATCAGGCATAGCATTATGACCACCTCCTTGTTTCTACGCTCATTGTCCATTTTATCAGCTCCACTTACTATATTGGTGCACTTTGTAGTTCCACAATTACACACTGTAGTCCATCTGTTTCTCTGCATACTTTGTTAGCCCCCTTTTACCCTGTTCTTCAGTGGTCAGGAGCCCCACGGACCCTCACAGAGCAGGTACTATTTGGGTGATGGATCATTCTCAGCACTGCAGTAACACTAACGTGGTGGTGGTATGTTAGTGTGTGTTGTGCTGGTACGAGTGGATCAGACACAGCAGTGCTGCTGGAGTTTTTAAACACCGTGTCCACTCACTGTCCACTCTATTAGATACTCCTACCTCGTCAGTCCACCTTGTAGATGTAAAGTCAGGGACAATAGCTTATCTGCTGCTGCACAGTTTGTGTTGGTCATCCTCTAGTTCTTCATCAGTGGTCACTGGATGCTGCCCACTGGACGCTGTTGGCTGGATATTTTTGGTTGGTGGACTAAGTCCAGTCCAGCAGTGACACTGAGGTGTTTAAAAACTCCAGCAGCACTGCTGTGTCTGATCCACTCAGACCAGCGCAACACACACTAACATACCACCAGTCAGTGTTACTGCAGTGCTGAGAATTATCCACCACCCAAATAGTACCTGCTCTGAGAGGGTCCGTGGGGCTCCTGACCACTGAAGAACAGGCTAACAAATTATGCAGAGAAACAGATGGACTACAGTCTGTAATCGTAGAACTACGAAGTGCACCTATATAGTAAGTGGAGCTGACAAAATGGACAATGAGCATAGAAACAAGGCCATTTCTTTTAGTATATTCACAATGAAATTGACGCACAACGTAAAGGGCACCAGGCATTTTCAAATTGTCAAAGTAAGATATCTCACACACACACACACACACACACACACACACACACACATTTTATATATATATATATATATATATATATATATGAAATAAAACCTATGAACAGCATTCTCACATTATTCCCTCTTCTGTCCACGTGGGTCAAGGAGAGGTAAATGACAGAGGAAGCGGATAAGGCATCATCTTTAGCCCTAAGGGTGATACGCTGAAATGGATCCAAGACTGGAAGACTGTTCCTTATGTGTTTCATTACCAACTAGGGGTGCAACGATTATTTGACTTAGTTGACTAAAATCGACGACCAAATTAGTTGGCAACTAATTTTGTAGTCGAGTAGTTGGTGACATCATTACGCGTCTTTCTCGCGCTCACTAGAAACGTTTTGACATTACTGCTTACTGGAGACTTAACGACAGCACGATGGCTGCCTCAAGAACAAAATCCTCAAAAGTGTGGGAGCTAAGCTTAGGAAAAAAAGGTGTCAGTTGTGCTGTTTGTAAAGCCGACCTTAGCTCGCCTGGGAGCACATCCTCCATGATGGAGTATCAGAAGAGGAAACCCGTTGGCTCACTGGGTGAAGAAGATTCATCTCGGTAAGATACGCCCCGTCCCAAATCGCATATTAGCACACTAAATAGTGTGTAAAAATATCGCATATACCATTAGAAGTGTACTCATTAGTGTAGTGTGTGGTTTGGGACGCAGCGATAGTTGTGCTAGCGAGCTAGTTCGCTAATGCTATTATTAAATTCCATCCTACTTTGTGTTCTGAGCTGTAACAGTTTCTATTTTGAAATGCGTGTTCTCTGGAATTATTAATGGAGCTGAAACAGAGAAGCAAGTAACTATCATTCACAGCGACACTGTTCACTTTCCAGATAACGTTTACGCTTTTAAACACTGCACCAGTGTCTTAGCGTTGAGGCAACCAGTGTGATCAAATTCGGCGAACACAGGAGAGCATTTCCAAACAGCTTACTGTTCTCCATGAACGTTTAGCTCCACTCGCAAACAGTTTAAGGAGGTAGTTCTCTGTGAACACACAGGGTAGCTAGACAAAGGGTTAGCACTGAAATGAAACGTTTACACAAAATCGTTCAAATTTAACTGTTAACACATATGCCATCAGGGCCAGGAGCCTACTGAGGGTTGACTCTGGAAAAGGTAGTCCTAACGTCTACTGTGGACAGACTTAGTACATGGTCGGAGGTCTGTGTGGTCTTCCTTGCTGGCTGGTTGTTCTGCGCTTTATAAATCATTCAGTGCCTATGGAAGTGAGGCATCACCATCACACTGCATGTGATGTCACTTTGTAGACAGTGATGGCCTGAATGCCCTGCCACATATGCCTTGTGTCTCTGGTGTCTACAAAGTATCTGGATTCTCTATGTTGCACTTTGCTTTTCTGATAGCCTGGGACAGGTTGGCACTTCCTGTTCTGAGAGCTGCCTTGTCACCTGACCTGAAGATTTAGGTTAGTACGTGTGGTGATTGTCTTGAAGGAAGTTACATTCTCTACATAGCCAGTCAGTGATGCTGTACATTCCTCCAACATTCCTCCTACTGTTGAATCAATATATGTAGCAGCCTCTTTAAACATGTTCCAGTCTGTTCGCACAAAACAGTCCTGAAGTGCTGAGATGGCCCTCCCTGGGACCAGTTTCTCACCTGTTTCAGAACCGACTTGGCATACTTGAGAATAAGTATGTATGCTGGAATTAACATGACAGAAATGAACAAGAAAAATGCATCAGGATGCACAGTCTGTGCAGTCTGTAGGTTACTGATAGCAGAGAATTCATTCAGTTCTTTCCTTTGCATTAGCGCCGGGTGGAATGTACACCGTGAAAATGAGCACAGCAGCAAACTCTCTGCGGAGGAAGTTTGGCCCGAGTTCAATCACAAACTCCACCACTTCTACAGCATTTTTGTACCATTTGTCATTAATGTAGACTACCCTAATGGTACTCTGTTGGTGCGATGTGCAGTTAGCCCTGCTAGTTGGATGGCTGAATCTGGAATGCTGTCAGTGAGCCAGGGTTTCCGTAAAAGCAAAAATGCAGCAGTTCCCAAAGTTTGCACTGGGAAGTTAGCTGTAGTCTGAAGTGGTTCAGTTTATGGTTAAGAGAGCGGACACCTAGAGAGAAGAGATGGTAGAGCCGGGTGGCTAGGATAAATTTCTAGCCTAGCTCGAATCCCACAGCTTTCTGGCATATTGTGAGACACTTCCTATCTTGTCCCAAGTACCTGCCCACAAATCAGCCAGAAGTCATGCAGCACCTCCAACAGTTCTTCATTTGTTACAAAGCACCAAATTTTCAGTACCTGAAGTAACCTAAACACCACCATCTTTATGCTGCAAAAAGCATTTTTCTGGCACATTTTATCAACCCCATGTTGAACTCATGTTAAAATACCCCACGTTAAAGTAAACAGAAATTGTGCACTGAAAGAGGATGTGTCCACTTACAAAAACAAAACATGTAATTCAATTGGGAATATTTAAAGTTTTGCAGCTGTGTAAATAAACATCATAAAATATATATTTTTTGCTTACCATTACCAAGGACTGGCTCTCCAGATCTACAACAACCCCAGACACAGTAACAGATGTTCCTATTCCTTTCTTTTCCTTCTTATTCTGCCCTGCTGGGGTTCCTCCTGCCTTCAATGGAGTCTCTACTGCAGTCTGTGATGTGTGTGTGTCTGTTTCCATCTTGAGTCGTGCAGTTTGCCCATCTTCATGTTTCTGCTTTTCTTTCTTCTTTTTATTTATTCCTCTGCCATCATTTATTGCATCATCCTGTTCTGGTTCCCTCTTCTGCACATCTTCACAAGCTGTGTTGGGAGAGCAGATGATGTTATGTTAGTCACTCTCATTATTTAATTAAAATTTCACAACACACACATCAGCCACAACAGCTAAAAAAGGCACATTTGTGGGCAGAGCATGGACAGGCCAGTTCCAAAGGGTTCACCAACTTTTTCACAACTGAAACAAACCTAGCAGATAACCTCCCAGGAAGCACATTAAAAGTTGTTAAGGAAAATAAAACTACCTTTGTGCTTTTTGGCAGCAGATTCTTCCTCAGCTGCCTCAGCCTTGTATCTTCTCTTCTTTTTGTCTTCCTTTTGCACAACTACATCTTCATCCTGCGGGAAGACACCTGTGTACACAGCAGAAGACACACAAGGTGTTTTGTTAAATTCTTCCAACATTGTTAAAATTCTGTAGCTAAAAAAGATCATTTTAACAGTCCAGCAATTAAACACACTGTAACAGTGTTAAGTTAAACAGTACTTTACTGATACAAATTGTCGAATATGACTTATTTCACAATTGGCAAATTTGTTAAACTGAAATTAACAGTATAAAGTCTTAATGTAAATACTAAATAAGCCACTTATAAATAATGCAAAAATGTCTAAATCTCAGCAAAATAAAATGATTAACATGTAAACAAAATCATTCAGTGTAGACTGAAAGGCTCCATGCTAGAGAAACACACAGTGTGGTGATAGGAACCAGACATCCACCTCTAAAATCTCCAGCACAGAAAGTTACTTCATGAAATGGTTATGAATTCACTGCCTGATGTCTGACACATTGTTGTACAGTAGTTGAGAATATTCTGGCCTTAAAATCCATTCAAGGTGGAGGGATACATGCACAGCACTGGGAGGCAAAATAGTCCCCAAAGAAAACCTTTCAGATTTTCAATTATTTTACAAATCATCAACATTCCATACAAGAACTCTGAAGACACATCTAGGTTCACTGATCGGTTTGAATATTAAAATAAATAGATACATATTTGTGTTGTAGACATAGTGACCCTTGGTTCCTATCACCACTACTGCAAAGAAATCTGAGTCTCTACTGTCAGTCACTACACACCAAATCACTCTCAATAAAATATTTACATTTCAATATTTGACTTATGCACAGAAATCTGTTGAATTTGTCTCCCTTATGGATCATATGTAGCCTATGAAACATGAGGTGCTTCAGGCAGTCAGGAAAGTGCACCTTAAAAGAAAATTCATTTTAAATGTCTTACCTTCACTTAAGTCACTGAATCTTCAATTTAAAACATGGAGGGAGAGAGAGAGAGAGAGAGAGAGAGAGAGAGAGAGAGAGAGAGAGAGAGAGAGAGAGATACCTGTCAATAATAGGCATCATATTTCGTTTTTCTGAAGTTGGATGAGATGTAACAGACCAAATGCAACATTAATGATATTTAAATAAATTAGTGCATTTGTTATTCTTTTACATACTGTTCACTATTATATATATAATTAAAAGGGACAAATTATGCTCTCTGAACATCTGAATCCAGAGCTGTTCAGTATTTTAGAAGTATTGATTAGAGTTGAAACGGTTACCGGTTTCACGGTAAACCGCGGTAAAATTAATGACGGTTAGTAGTACCGTTTGAACTTTAAAGTATCGTTAAAACCGCGGTCGATTACCGCGGTGTGAAACTCGGAGATTCTGAGATATTTCAGCCTTCTAAGAAGACCAAGTCTGACGTTTGGTCATGTTTTGGGTTTATAACGGTGCAGAAGGAAAGCTAATTGAAGATGACCACCCTGTCTGCAGAATAGCGGCGAAAGGGGGCAACACATCAAACCTTATGAGTCATCTTCGCGACCACCACCCGCTACTAGCAAGAATGCAAGGTTAACTTTAACGGAGAAGTCTGTGGGGACTTCGAAATAGAAGAAATGTCATGGTTTGTGTGGTTTAACTTATGTTTATGGTTTGTTAATAATATAAAATGAAGCTTTGAGTAAAAGTGAATCGATACTAAAGCTTTTAACACATTTCTGTGGAGCAGAGTCTCCAAAATGAGCTGAGTTAACGAGACGCTGCAGAAGTTCAATCTGCACAGCTCCCCTTTCTCGTCTCACTTGCAGTGTTTACTGTCTGAGAAGAGAATAACACCGTCTCAAATCACTCAGTGTCCCCTACAGAGGGCGCTACTGTTCAAACACGATCATCATTAACAAGCAGCTGAGTTTTAAATAGGGAATTTGTAACCTGTTGTTAATGTTGATTATAGATGACTTAGTCGAACATTTCTTGCACTCTTTGGGTGAAGGATTTGCTATTTCATGATCCACGAAGTGCACTACATAGGGAAGATAGTGTGCTTTGAGACGGGACCTTGCGCGAATAAACGCTGTGTGTCGCTTTTAGGAAAAGCAGTTTCAGAGATTAAACTGTAGGAGTGTTTCTGCCGCAGCTCAGATGCGCATTAATTTAAAGTTATGCTTTGGTTTTAAAATGCTTTTAGAGAAGCAGCTCCACAGGTGAAGACACACTGTGTGAGTTCTACACTGTCTGCAGCTCACAGCACGGTCACGCAATTCCTCTGTGATTTTGGCTGTTTTTCCTGGTGCACTGTATTGATTAGGGGTTCAGCGCCACAACGGCACAATAATGCTGCAATTGCAGTTCGGACAGAAATCCCTCGAGTGCAGCATCTCTTAGAAGTAGTAATTTTCCATTAAGACCTACCTCAGAGTTGGTCGAGATTTAATTCTCTATGCAGGGAAATCCCTAGTTATTGTAATTAATAATAATAATAATAATAATAATAATAATAAAATAATTACAACAGTAATAAGAATAATAACAACAGTAATAATAATACATTTGCTATTCTTTTGTTTACAGAGTATTACAAGTATTGTAAGTAATACAAAAGTAATACTAAAAATGTATAAAAAAAAAAAGTGCATATTGCTGCCAATTCTATTTGTGTTAATATAAAAGTTGGTGAAACGAGTTTCAGTTTGTGTATCAGTATTTATTTTTTTATTTATTTTACTTTTCAACACATTTGAACAATATCGCGATAATACCGATAATCGTGATAATTTGTCATGATAATCATGATATGAAATTTTAATATTGTTTCATCTCTAGTATTGATCACACACAATATGCTCAGAAAAGCACATCGTGACATCAGTTAAAGTAATATCATACTGCCATATCATTCAACGCTGCCTCAGCTTGTAAATTCCAGTTTGTGACTTAAATCTAAAACACCACAGAGGTTAGCACTCACATCTTCACCAGCCTGTACATTTTGGTTCGGTTGAGGTTTGGTGTATTCGTGCGACTGCCCAGCTCAAAAAGACGATCAGCTAGAGCGCTGTAGTCAAACTGTAACAGGAGAATAAAACAACAATGCATTAATTTATGTTTACAGAAGCTGATCAATACAGCCAGACAAACGGTAACCGTCTTAATGTTCCCTTACGTTCGCTCAGTCAGCACCACCCACCTGCAAAACAGGTCCAATGTCGCCATCACTCAGCTTTTCCTTAGGATCTACATCATCCAAATCCAGAAGTTCATCCTCACTGCCCTCATCACTCTCCTTTGCATCTGGGACACCTGGAGAGCATTTCATATGCATCATTTCTAATTCAGAGCTCACTGAAACAAACAAAATTCTGTCCAATTCTAAACTAAAACTCATATCACATTTGTGTAATTAGAACAGAAGACTGACTTGAGATTCAAATATGATGGAACACTGCACAGTCTTTTTTGTGGAAAGAAAAAAAAGTTACATTTTTGCAGTTTTCTTCATTTATTGGCACTAAAGCGAACAGAATAAAGAACTTGACGATGCAGAGTGTAAACTGAACATTAATGTAATTCATTATGTACTAGGGATGTTCCCACTTAATGCAACTGGCATGCCACCAGAAGCATGAATTTAACTGAATTTAACACAGTGGGAAAACATTTTTACCTGTGCATGCTTTTTCCCCCCCTAAAATATAGCAAACTCAGTCAATGAGTAACAACTGTGCACTAGAATATGAAAAAAAAAAAGTCACTTAAAAGCGTTCTCTATAGAGGATGTGTTAACTTATTTTCACTTAGAAAATCAACTAAACTGGGGATGTTTTATCCTAAAACTATCAAAAAAGCTGTGACTTCCCTGAAGAACTTTCAAAGGCAAAATAAGCTAACAAGTAATGAAAGGCTGTTACTCGAAATATTTTTGCTCAGTTAAAAACTAAATAACAAACTTCAGATACCAATACCCTTCAGAATCAATTATTAATTCTGCAAAGAGTAATTATGATTTTTCAGTGCACCATTCCTTTATCAGCACTTTATTAGACTCCACTTTTTGATCTGATCGGACACTGCTTTACATGGTTTTTAATTTAACACTCAAAGCTTAACGGTAACAGAAGAAATTCCCACCCGTCTGTAAAGCGGCCATGAATATGACCAGCTCTATAAATGGCCCTTATTAACATTACTATTACTAAGTCCCTAAGTTTTCCGTGATATGGTCCCATTAAAGCCAAGTGATCAACCCTTGACCTACCATTGACCTTTTTCCCTTTAACTTTCTTGAACACTCTGCTATTCGGTTCATCTTCTACACTTTCCTCTTCATCCTCAGAAGCCTGGCCAGAGTCTGTATCTTCTCCACAACGCAACTCCTTTATCAGGTCCTCCACAGCATAGGAAGCATGGTCCACTACAGCGGAGAAGACGTTTTTGGAGATGGAAGTCAACACTGAGCGACTGAAAGAGAGAAAACAGACAGAAGAGTGAGCAGGTTTCATCTCAGAAAACACTGTTAGCCTCTAAATTAACCTCTCTGAGACACTCACTCTTTGGTTTTGGCCATGGTCTTGCAGAAAGGGTCAATAAAAGTCAAGTTCTGTTCTGCTGTTAGCTGAAGGAGAAAGAAAACATGTCCAGCACATGTCCAGTAAATCTACTCACATCCACTTTAAAAAGAAACAGTTCAGCAAAATATCAAAATGTACACAACATTCTCTATTTAGCTTGAATGTAGTCGATCAAGAAACATCTGATGTCTGAAGTTTGCTGAACTACTCCTGGACCTGCTGAAACATTAGTATGTCCCTATCAAACAAGTTAAAGAGAAATTTAATTCCCATTTTCTACCATACTGTCTTTTACATGAGGCATGAAATTCTACTTTCTATTAGTTTGCTGCTAAGACCGCTTTGAGTAGCGTTTACCTGTCAGCACCCTGACTGTGTGTTTGTAGAGCTGCTTTACACCAATCAGGTATAACATTATGACCACCTCCTTGTTTCTACGCTCATTGTCCATTTTATTAGTGGGGCTGCAACAACCGACTAATCTGATAGTCGAATAATCTATCGATTACTGAAACGAATAATCAATTATTCGGATTACGAATCACTACATTACCAAACAACTCTTATGTAGCTATTAGCTTTTAAATTTAGCTTGAGGTCGTTTTATGCATTTGCTAACTAACAATGAACACAAAGATGAATAGCATTCAAGAATTAAGTTAACACACACTTTCCTGCTAATACAAAAAAAATAAAACTCCAACGTATTTTTCCTGTCAAAATTTATAACCAAGGATGTGCTAAGCAGCAGCAATAAAATAACAAAACTATCATTTTTTCTTTAATCAAGTAAATAATCAATCTAAATTTTAATAAATGTAAACGGTGCAGTCTGTGCATTCTGCTGTCTGTCTACACTCTGCTGAAACTAAATTTTACAATTACATGTCTTTATTGAAAAGGAGGAAATTCAGCACTCCGTGCTCCTCTGAGAGTCTGTGAGAGAGCAAATACCCCCCGCTGCAGGGAAGATGCGCTCTGAAAGTGGCGCATGTTTGTGGCAAACTTTTCTATGAACAGTTAAATTTCAACGATTTTGTGTCAACGCTTCATTTCAACGCCAACCCTTTGTCTAGCTACCCTGTGTGTTCACGGAGAACTACCTCCTTAAACTGTTTGCGAGTGGAGCTAAATGTTTGCGGAGAACAGTACGCTGTTTGGAAACGCTCTCCTGTGTTCGCCAAATTTGATCACACTGGTGGCCTCGATGCTAAGACACTGGTGCAGTGTTTAAAAGCGTAAACGTTATCTGGAAAGTGAACAGAGTAGCTGTGAATGATAGTTACTTGCTTCTCTGTTTCAGCTCCATTAATAATTCCAGAGAACACGCATTTTGAAATAGAAACTGTTACTGCTCAGCTCAGAACACGAAGTAGGACGGAATTTAATGTTAGCATTAGCGAACTAGCTCACTAGCACAACTATCGCCGCGTCCCAAACCACACACTACACTAATGAGTACACTTCTAATGGTATATGCGACATTTTTACACACTATTTAGTAGGGGCGGGAATCCTTAGGCATCCCACGATTTGATTACGATTCAGAGGGCTGCGATGCGATTATAAAACGATTATCGATGCATCTCGATGCATTTTTTTTTCTATACATGATTTCTATTTTCTTACTGTCTGAGGACTTGGTAGTTTTAAAACAAAGTATTTGTAATGATCCATAATGCATTCACGTCCAATGTCTTTTATTAATAAAACAAATGGAAGTGATGTGGCAAGTGAACTAGAAGGCTCTCATTCACTGCTCTTGTTTGGAGACGCTGCTGCCACTCATCTGTGATAAAATGCGCTGTTACAGTGAAATAAGATCCAGTGGTAATAGATGTCCACGCAGCACCGTGGTTTTCGTTTATATTGTTTAGCCTAAACTAGGACATTAACACATACTGAGACATACCGGACATAAATGTTGTGGCTCCCAAGGCGGTCTGATTTTTGCTGAAAGGACGAAATGGCTCTTCTTAACATTTAGGTTGTGACTCCTGATCTAACCTGGCTTTAATGCAGGGGGAGCCGGTCGGATTTCTCACTCATCCAGTTGTGTTTTTGTTATGTGCCGCCACAGACTGTCCGGATGCTGCACTTACCCACTTCCAAGTTCCGCCCTTTCCGTTCTGTCAACATTACGTTATAAATGAAATACTTAGAAAATCGATTTTTGACATTTGTGAATCGATTCAGAATCATCCACGTCTGCATCGCGATGCATCCAAGAATCGATTTTTTCCCCACACCCCTACTATTTAGTGTGCTAATATGCGATTTGGGACGGGGCGTATCTTACCGACATGAATCTTCTTCACCCAGTGAGCCAACGGGTCTCTTCTTCTGATGCTCCATCATGGAGGATGTGCTCCCAGGCGAGCTAAGGTCGGCTTTACAAACAGCACAACTGACACCTTTTTTTCTAAGCTTAGCTCCCACACTTTTGAGGATTCTGTTCTTGAGGCAGCCATCGTGCTGTCGTTAAGTCTCCAGTAAGCGGTAATGTCAAAACGTTTCTAGTGAGCGCGAGAAAGACGCGTAACGACATCAACTACTCGACTACAAAATTAGTTGTCAACTTTAGTCAACTAAGTCGAATAATCGTGCATCCCTACTCCACAGCAGAACTAGATTTTTAAGTAAAATAACAATGCTCCTTTGCTGTAAAATCGTTATAACACACAGTTCTAACACAGTTTTCACAATAAATTGTCTTAAACGCTGGAGTTGCTTAATGCATAACTGCTAATTCACCAACCTTTAATGCTGAAGACTAACGTGCAGACTGCTGGTCACACGGCAACGCAGATAACGAAAAGGCAAAGAGAGATTTAAGACGAACATCGATAATTTGGAGATGGACTTGTTTACATTTATAAGCATTCAGCTGGTTTCCTCATACGTTTAATCTGCAACAACTCGCAAAGCTGAAGTCAGCGTCTCATTCGCCAGCTTCTCGTTCTAATTTTCCCATTCCACCTTAAATGGCGCAGCAGTACAATCTGGCGTCTCAGGCACCATTTAACGTGGAACGAGACAATTCGAACAAGAAGCTAGTGAATGAGAAGTGACTTCAGCCTTGTAAAAAGTCGAACACTGAGAGACTTTTTTTTACAAGAAACTCCCGGAAAAGTTCCCTGACTGAGGTGCGAGAAAAGCAGCTACAGCTGACCTAAAGCTTAAAGCAGAGCAAAGTAAGTCTGCGTTTTTGTTTATATTTTTAGCCTGTACTAGCACATCAGCACATACTGAGACATATTTACAGCCAACAAGGTAAATCGGACATAAAAAGTTGTGGCTCCCAAGGTGGTTTGATTTTCGTTGAAAGGACAAAATGGCTCTTCTTATCATGCTGACCCCTGAGCTAAGCCTACTAGTAAGGGGTGATCAGCACGTGGGATCCACGTGTGTCCGTTTGCTCGAACTATCCGCAGCTCAGTCAGGATTGCACAATCACCACCAGCCCAATTAACGACCACATTCTGTGATTCACATTTTGCGCGGATTGCCTGTAGCCGGTAGGGAAATTGTAGCGAAAATGATTGCTATAGCTACACAAAAATTTGTAGCCGCTACAGCTATTAGCTACATTTAATAAAACTGTAGTGGCTACAGCTATTAACTACAAAAATTTGTAGTTAGCTACAAAAAGTAGTGCGTTACTTAGCTACTCCCCCATCCCTGTCCAGCAGTGACACTGAGGTGTTTAAAAACTTCAGCAGCACTGCTGTGTCTGATCCACTCAGACACAGCAGACACACACACACTAACACACCACCACATCAGTGTTTAAGAACAGGGTAAAAGGGGGCTAACAAAGTATGAAGAGAAACAGAGGGACTACAGACTGTAATTGTAGAACTACAAAGTGCACCTATATAGTAAGCGGAGCTGATAAAATGGACAAAGTGTAGAAACAAGGAGGTGGTCATAATGTTATGCCCGATCAGTGTGTTCATAGAGCTGTTAAATGGTAATTCAGGTAAAAACTGACAAAAGACATAAAATGTAAAGGCTGTAAACGGACACACATCGTGTTGAGTCGTAATCTGCACAGAATGCAGTGTCTGCATTAAGGGCTGTAATTATAGTGTATCACAAATCAGTTCCCTGTCAAGTGCAAACGACCCACGCTACAGGCTGTACCAACTAAAGTTACCTCAGAGGGGACTACAGGATACCAGGTGGAACAAACTAACTTGAGCTACTGCCTGTCCAAAATAAATGAAAAGAAACCTAACATTATGCATTTGGGTGTTCTAGCTGTCCATTGTACCAAACTCCTATTGTGATGTCCAAACTATGGCAAGAACCAAACCATGACTTCTGTGTACCATTACACCCCTTGTATGCATCATCGTCCATTGTTTCTTGGCTACGTTGGCCTAACAGCTTCTGCCCAAAACTGCAGAAGCAAATGTCATACACTAACCTTCTCATGGCTGATCAACTACATCTGGTGTAAGAAGACAACTATATGTTGGATATTTATAAAGGTCCGTCAGGTACAGCAGTCTGATTGTTCATGCTACAGACTGACATTTCAAGACAAAAAACAAACTGCAAAACGTCAATCAGCTCTTACCTCTGCAGCCCCGACCCAAGCTAATTCAGTCATGTACAGCTCAAGGACATGTAACATCAGGCCATCTGGAACACGTCCGGTGCTTTGTAAAAGCTGTGCTGTAAACACCTCTAAAAACTGATTTACCACACTGCACAGAAGACAGAATAAGTGCGAACCCATTAAAAACAAAAAACAAAACAAAAAAAATAATAATAATAATAAAAAATTAATAAAAATAAAAATCACTCCTATTTCAAATAGGTTATAAGACCCAAAGACATGAATTCACCCTGGAACTGCACAATATATCATTAGCCTTATTAAGACTGGATTACCTCAACCCAGGAAGGGCTTGTTAATTAGCAGATTAGATCAGTTGTGAAGGCAAACACTAAAATGTGCAGGGTTGGGAACCACTACCATTGACCAAGTAAATGAGTAGGAGACTCAAAGCATCCATTGTTTCACAATTTATGATGTTTTTAAATACATATGCACACTAGGGGTGGACAATGACAATGTTATCGTTATCATGATAAATTATGTTACAATACACTTTTGTATCAAAGATTTTGGAAAAAGCTGTGGCAAAACAACTTGCATAGAAATCACATACACGAAAAATTTGGTCTGGATTTAGGTCTCATCATAGTATAGAAACAGCACTAGTGGAAATTGTAAACAATCTCTTATTATTCTCTGTTAACACTGTATACTATAATCAGCTACTCCTAAAAGAACTAACTGTGTGTTTCTTTGCTGAACTGAACAACTGTGCACCCTATGCGGTCTAAAGCTGTTCCTTCATCTGAGGTAGATGGGTTCCACCTTCGAGTCTTGGTTCCTCTCAAGGTTTCTTCCTCTTGCTCTTAGAGAGTTTTTCTATGCCACTGCCACCACTGGCTTGCTCATGGGGGCTTGGACCCAGATTTTTTTCTTTAAAGCAGCTTTGTGGCAATGCCTGTCGTAAAAAGTGCTATATGAATAAACTGACATTAATTGACAGTTTGGCCTGTTCAATTGGATTTAGTCCAGCACAGGACTTATTACAAATAAGTCAGTGTAGTCACACACTTATTATTTTTATTATTACTACAGTATTTTTTTATGTGGCACTACAGGTTATTTTGTCTGTTTTATCTTATTATGTTTCAGAAAAAATAAAATCTACCACTCATATGAACTGTATGAACATATATGAAACACTATATATGCTATGGGCATTTGCAAAGCAAAACCCCCCAGTCACTGCCTAGGCCATTTAGGAAGATCTAATTTATATTACAGTAAACATTACCTGGTGTCCCATTCTCTCCTCTTGAGAACTTCAAAGGCCTGTCTGAACACAAAACGAACCAGCTTTTTGGGAAAGAGAAGAGAAAAATGTACGATTACACTAGGAAAAAAAAATTTTAATTCATTTTCAACATTGAAGGAAGCATTAGAGGAAAAAAAAAGTTCACTCAATTTACTCAATTTTCCCCATACCTTAGACATTTGCAAGTTGCTAGCTTTTTAAAACACTAAAGAAACGTCAGACACCAAACATGTCTTAGGTGGTCAGTTCCATTTGGGCTAAGGGAAAAATTATGTATTTTTCACCAAACTATTCCTTTAATGGTTTCCAGAAGGCTTACATTATGTTCACAAGCTGACACAGTAGAGGAAAATATAAAAGTATCTCAAAGCCTTGTATCGCTCCTGTCACACATGCCCGTTTACTCAGATATTTAACAGTGATGATGCAGGTAAGGGTTCAGTGTAAAAATCCCAGTAAAACTGACCCAGAAACTTACCTGCATGACAACTACTATAATTACTGTGAGGGTTCAAGTGAACATAAGCAAATACACTACCTGGAAATATGGTGACATTTAGATCAAAATCGTAGCTTTTTCCAGTTTAGTACACGGACTTTTATAAGTAACCACAATGCAAGTGTTTGTGTGATTCCAGAGAGAGAAACAGCAAAAACCAACCTTGAATGTGGCCTCTCCCGTGAAAAAGTGATAGGAAGCGGCCAGGAAAGCGAAACGTTTGTGTAATACTCTTAACAGTTAAAATCTCAATTTCTGAAGAAGGAAAAAGTTGTAGGAGTGTATTTTTATACAATTCAGAACAAAAGGAGTTGTTATTCATTCAATCTCAGGTTGTCACATCCTGTTTACCAGGACTTTCGTGGCCAGTATGAGGGCATGCATCATGATAAAACACTTGTGTTTCATGAGTGAAATATGAGCAGTAAAAGAATCACAAAAACACCCCAGGTTGAATGAGAAAAGATCTTATCATTTTAGGACTAACCTGGTAGAACTTATCCATGCGAAGTCTATCAATGCCATTCCATTCCCTCTTCAGAGTCTGAAGAAAGGTTTCAAAGTACAGCAGCTCTGGAAAAAAAGTCAAAGGCTGATGGCTGATGAGTTGTATCAGCAACCACAGGGGGGAAAACTACAAAAATGACAGCAATAAGCGTTCCAAAAGTGTTTTGCTGCCATCACGCGGCAGCACTGCTTGCTCATCTCTGGTACTATGGTCTGTTCTTGCACATGGGCAGACCGAAGTAAATCCGAGTACAAGTATGCATGCTCTGAGAAATCTGATTACTCAGCTAAAATCCAGCTCTCTGTTGGATTTCTTAATTGGATTTGTAGATCGGAGTGTGGTGTTTACATGACCATTTGAATAATCGGATAACTGCAGAAATCCAATTATGATTGGATTATTAAATGCACGTAAACGCTTTCATGGATTCAAAGAAGAGAAAAATAACCACTGCATCCCTCTCTACCTTCAAAGAAAGTCTGATATAAATGTTCTCTGGTACACATCCATATGGAGAGAGAGCGCGAGAGAGAGCGCGAGAGAGAGCGCGAGAGAGAGAGAGAGAGAGAGATACCTACGGTTGTCAGCTGTGTGGAAGCAATGGATCAGGCCAGATATTCTGTCTGAAAGTTCCTCCTGAGATCAAAGATACAAATTATTACCATATTATTACCTCGTTTACAGTCAACCTGAAATCAAGATGGACCTTTTTAATAGAAGTCGGCGATAAGGCAAAAATGTAATATCAAGATACTTCAGAAAGTTTTTGCGATACACAATGTACAGTGCTCATTTTTTTCTGATATATGATGAGAGAACAAAAGTAGTGCCACATTTAAAAAAAATAAAATAAAATCAAAAGCTATGAAAACAATGATTTGTATTCAGAATTCTATATACTGAGCTGCTGAAACCCAACTACACAGGACTAATTTGCTTTCTTTTTTAGTGAAATATGTAGTTGGGGAGTGTTTTTTGTTTTTAGATATTTACCATACCCACGATATACTCATAAAAGCATATGGAGATATCGCAGAGGAATGGGTCACAGAAGTACAGAAGGAAAATGAGCTATGATTTACATTTCACAATTATTTTATAATGAATAAAGATGAAGTTTGTAAAGATGTTTATTAAGGTGTACACTAAAAAGATGTGCCTAAATGTAGTTTGATGGTCAATTTGGAAAAAATCCAAATTCTTGACCTTATTTTCCATGTGGTGGTGATAGGAACCAGCGGTTGCCATGTGTACAACACAAATATAGTCATTCTATTTACTATCCAAAACTGCCAGTAAAGCTACATGTGTTTTAATATGGAATGTTGATAATGGTAAAACAGTGAAAAATCAGAAATGGTCAATTCTCTTTTGCCTCACAACGCCCTGTACGTATTCCTCCACCATGAAAGGATTTTGAGGCCGAAATCTTCTCAAAACTATCATAAAATAATGTCTCAGACATCAGGCAGAATTTTAAAGGTGGACATCTGAACAAGTGAACAAGTCTGACTCTGTAAATTTCTCTAGAATGGAGCATTTCATGCCAAACCACTCTAAATGAACTTATATCTTAAGTGTTTAATTATGTAAAAAAATTTAACTATTAGCTTACCTGCAGAAGCGGTTTGTCTTGCATCCACAAGCAATAGAAAAGTCCTTTCCATATTTTCATTAAATCTTCACATGTGAAACCACCTTAGAGTTAAAAATGACCAAATTAAGACTTATTAATCGCAATGAGGCCCTGACAAGTTAAATTAACTACTACTGTAACTACACACTTAAAAGGAGGGGTCTTCAGGGGGTCTTTAAGAGACGGGATGAGTTCTATACAGAAACATTTGCACGCTTAAATTGTTCTTTGCACGGTGAAATGCTTTTAAAGAGTTGTTTGTAGAATGTATTGTATAATGTCCTGCATAGCACCTTGTTCAAAATAGTTCTATACAGCAACAAAAAAAGTTCTTCTATTGGTTTAAGCTTGACATCCTAACAGAAAAAGTATGCTTTTAGGTGCCAAATAAAAATATTTTCTAAAAGGTTCTATATAGAACTTATGGTTCAAATCAGAACCATAGCCTTTACTACAGAACCCTTGAAAAACATTTTTTAAATGCGTAGGTTAGCTAGCTGACTTTGCTTGGCTGTATTATCCACAAAGCCAGTAAACATTAGCTCAGAGTCTACAGACTAGAGATAAATGATGCATTAGTGTTTTAAGGTGGATGGCCTGTACGCTAGCACGTTAGCACGAACCTAACCCCGCACGTGTCACGAGGCCGAAATCAGCTTCTTATTAGAATTTTCCTGTTCTACTTTAAATGGTGAAGCAGCTACACTCTGGCGCCTGTGTAACTTCTGCAACTAGCATTTAAGGTGGAACGGGAAAATTCTTACAAGAAGCTGGCAAATAGGAAACCAACTTCAGCCTCTTCCACGTTTCCCACTGTAGTTAGCACTGTTAGCACAGTCGGCTAATCTTACCTCCTTCTCTCTGAGAGCGCAAATTAATGTACTTCCTTAGAGTCTTTAAGGCTTTAGTCCTAACAGACTTCTCGTTGGCGGCGAGTCTCTGAGCGAGCGCAGTTTCTGGCCCCTGAGTTACTGTTCCTGCTGCTGCCGCCATGTTTCTATTTCTGCTCTTCTCAAGTGAATCTTCATCCACAAACTCACTCCGCGTGCTTCTTACGCGCAGCTCGATGACGTATTGGTCTCTGGCTTTTACCATGTTTTATCGCTAGATGGCGACATCACATCAGAGAAACGATTTTTATTTGATTTACGTCAGGTGCATTCCAACAGAGCCGGTGTTAGGTTAATTCAGTTGGCTTTGTTTCCCCTGTTTGCGGCTGGCGAAATCATGACGTCTTCAACTGATGCCGCTCTGCTCTGCAGGGCTTAATTCGTTCTATCCTTCGGGTAAGCGAATTTTCACGTTTGTAAAATGGTTTGTAGATGAACACATGTTTATAAACTGTGTTCTTAGCAGAGGCTTTAATGCTCAAACAGTGTAACATAGATTTAATGCGCCGTTTCTAATTTAATTGGCGTAAACATAGTCATTCTGTTGTTCAGACTCCAGTGACTTTTTAAGGTGTATTGTGGTTGTCTCACAGCCTCGTCAGTCTCGCTAAGTTGTGTAGCTAAATAGATTTGAAACATTTTAAAGTTTTGTTGCTGATATAAATAAACTGCATTACACGGCACTGTTGTTAGTGTTATTACTTTAGGTTTCTTATCTAAGTACACATAGAAAGTTTTTTTCTCTATAGTCTGTTGAAGGTGAAATGCAGTTACATCTTAGTCCTATGTTAGTAATGTGTCTTTTCTTTATAGTTTTTATTAATACAGTTGTTTTACACTGGAACACAGATGGAACAGTTACCTGTTATTGAAGGCAAAAGGTTCTCCCATGTATTGCAATATAACACAACTGAAATTGAATTAAAATGCAACAATAGTGGTATTGAGCATCTGTTCCACCTTTGAAGACAACAAATTTTATCCTTATCCTTTGATAGTAAGAATACAGCAGGGAAGAGATTTTACTGGCAGCCTTGGAAAGTGGTTTCCCCTTGGAGAGATACAACTGGAGTGGATTTAAAGTACAATAATGATGCTGAAAATCTATATCTGTGTAGGATCTTTTCACTCAGTAATTTTTGTCATATTATACCACCATTACACTGAGAATACAGGGGGGAACATCTTTAACCGGATCCTGAGGAAAGTGATTTCCCCTTATATATTACAGCTGGAGTGTATTTAAAGTACAATAACAATGCTGAAAATCTATATCTGTGCACAGTCTTTTCACTCAGTAACAGTTAGTCAAACTGTACCACCTGTACACTGAGAAAATAGGGGGAAACATTTCCCCTTGTATATTACAGCTGGAGTGGATTTAAAGTACACCAATGATGCCTTTCATCTCTATCTGTGCATGCTCATTTAACACAGTAGCTTTTAGTCAAACTGTACCACCTTTATCCTGAAACCTACACCGATCAGGCATAACATTATGACCACCTCCTTGTTTCTACACTCATTATGCAGTTTATCAGCTCCACTTACTATATACGTGCACTTCGTAGTTCTGCAATTACAGACTGTTGTCCATCTGTTTCTCTACATACTCATCAACAGATGAGCTATCGTCTCTGGCTTTACATCTACAAGGTGGACTGACAAGGTTGGAGTGTCAAATAGAGTGGACAGTGAGTGGACACAGTGTTGAAAAACTCCAGCAGCACTGCTGTGTCTGATCCACTCGTACCAGCACAACACACACTAACACACCACCACCATGTCAGTGTTACTGCAGTGCTGAGAATGATCCACCACTCAAGTAGTACCTGCTCTGTAAGGGTCCATGGGGAACAGGGTAAAAGGGGGCTAACGAAGTATGCAGAGAAACAGATGGACTACAGTATGTAATTGTAGAACTACAAAGTGCACGTATATAGTAAGTGGAGCTGATAAAATGGACAATGAGCGTAGAAACAAGGAGGTGGTCATAATGTCATGTCTGATCGATGTATATCTGTATTATCATTTTACACAGTTTTAGTTTTAGTTAACCTCTTTTACACTAAAAATAAAAGGGGAATAGTATTCAGTGTACTAGTCGATTACAGCTATTGTAGATTTAATGCACTATTATCATATTAATTTACCTTTATTTTTAAATTTTACTCCACCAGCTTCATTCTTGTAACATTTTTTATACAGAGAGTAAATTCTGAGAAAAACAGCTTAAATTCTAAGCTGGTCAAGCTGGTCTAAAGCTGGTTTAGCTGGTTGACTATCTCAGTCAAGCTGGTCAGAGCTAGATGACCAGCTTGGCCAGCTGGTTTGGGCTGAAAGACCAGCTTGAATCAGCTAGTCAGAGCTGAGAAGCCAGCTTGGCCAAGCTGGTGGGCAAAAGTTCAAGCTGGCAGACCATCATAGCTGGTTAGGGCTAATAGACAGGCATTAATTAATGAAATTAAGGTAGTGTGACATACATGACATATAAAGAAATATTTGAAGTCCTTTCCAAAAAGAGTTATCTATGATATTTAATGTCTGCCTGTTGGAACTTGAAAAAGACGTATCAAACTTGCACACTCCTGAACAGAAGGGAGAGGCATCGTTGTAGCAAAATAAAACAGGCAACTGAATAAGCCAAGATAAGTTTCACATTGCAAGAAGTAAAATCACTGATATCTTTCACTAATATCAGCATGCAGAAGAATATGCAGAATATATATATATATATATATTAGGGGTGTGGGAAAAATCGATTCTTAGATGCATCGCGATGCAGACGTCGACAATTCTGAATCAATTCACAAATGTCAAAAAATCGATTTTCTAAATATTTAATTTATAACGTACTGTTGACGGAACGGAAAGGGCGGAACTTGGAAGTGGGTAAGTGCAGCGCCCGGACAGTCTGTGGCGGCACTTAACAAAAACACAACTGGATGAGTGAGAAATCCGACCGGCCCGCCCTGCATTAAAGCCAGGTTAGATCAGGAGTCACAACCCAAATGTTAAGAAGAGCCATTTTGTCCTTTCAGCAAAAAGTAGACCACCGTGGGAGCCACAACATTTATGTCCAGTATGTCTCAGTATGTGTTAATGTCCTAGTTTAGGCTAAACAATATAAATGAAAACACGGACTTACTCTGCTCTGCTTTAAGCTTTAGCTACAGCCGCTTTTCTTCCATCTCCGCCCGAAAACTTTTCCTCAAAAGTTGAATAGTTTCTTGTAAAATGTTTCTCAGCTTTCAGCTGTTTTACAAGGCTGAAGTCACTTCTCACTCGCCAGCTTCTTGCTGAACTTTCCGGTTCCACTTTAAATTCTGACTGAGATGCCTAATGTAATTGCGGCACCATTTAAGGCGGAACGGGAAAATTAAGAGAAGCGACTTCATTTTCGCAACTTTTTAGTTAGTGTTTGACAGTCTCTCGTTGCATATTTAACATACCAGGAAACCTGCTTATAAGCGCTGCTTATAAATGCGAATAAGTCCGTTCATCTCCAATGTTCATCTGTCTTTCTCTTTTCCTTTTTTCGTTCGCTACTAGCTCAGCGAAACCTTGTTACTATGTGACCTGCAGTCTTTACATGGTTTGGCATGGTTGTGTGTGTGTCTGTGCGCATGTGTGCACAAAATGACAAGCCAGTATAAATACTTTGTCCTTTTAGAGCTTACACATGTGAACACATGAATATGAGAAGACAAATTATTTTCTATGAAGGCATTGCTATTTCAACATCAATAAATAAATTCTTGTGTGTTTGTGGTTTCTTTTGTTTGTGAATGTTCATTCATACCTGAGCTCTCAAGAACAGAGTGTTTATATCAGCTAATTCATTTTCTCTGTGCAATAAATTTGATCAGAACTGGTTAAACTGGTGGTCTAGTCTAAGCTATTTATGACATGGTGCACCAGGCACCAATTTGGACAAGCTGGTGCATTGTTAAATTGAGAGACTAGCTTAGATAGGGTTACAAAATTATAGCAAAGCTGGCTGAACACCTTTATCAGTTTGGAGAAAAACTGATTGAATTAAGCACCTTTCACAATGGTAGTGATAAACTAGGAATGATGTCTAAAGTTGCTTTATTGTGCCTCAATCAAAGATAGTTTCTTGTAGTTATAACCTTACTATACATATAATCACAATGACAAAATAGTTACAATTTTATTTCTTTTGTGTAGTTTGATGTAGTGTATAAACACTGTTAAACTTTCAAAACATACAATTCACTCCATAGTCTATAGAGTGCATATATGGAAACAACACTGTTAAAGGCACAGTAACAAAATTGCCCGCTTAATTGTAAGGGATAAAAAATATGGTCATTGATAAATAAGATATGGCTGTTTTACCCACACAAACGTCATAAAGTGAACTCTTGTAAAATACAAGGATATGGACCCTTTAACACCTTTTTCAACAGAGTTTGGGAAGAAGAGTAAATACGTTTCACTAGTGAAGTCAGTCAGTATGCATTTGCTTAAGATACTGGTTGGTGTGACAACCCTAAAATGGTCCTCAGCTTGGGGAGAATACTTCTTAATGTGGGGAAGAGATTCTTGATCTGCCGCTTTGTAAAAAGGCTCATCAAGTACACCGAGGACTTACAGAATTATAAAGCATGATAAACTGATTGTAGCGAACACTGGCTGAAACGAACACTGGCCGAAACATGACCTCAAGTTGAATGTTTACTTAAACTCATCAACAACCAAAAGCTAAAAGCCTTTTGGCTCCAGCGAGTCTGGAGCTGGAGGTGTAAATCTGTCACTTATCACCCCCAACTCCCAAAATCAGTCGATTTACGGCTGAATCAAGGAGCAGCACCCCTCTCTCTCCTTTGACCTGGAGAAAAACAGGACCCTTCACTGGAATGCAGCTGCACGGCTCTCCAAAATCCTGTGGACAAATTTTTCTTAAGTAACAGAAAGTACATTTCTAAGGTGTTTGTCCCCTCCAAACTACAACCATTCGTTAGAACTCTTTTTAACTAAACTAGACATACCAAAACGGAATTTGTACGACTTTGGACGGCAAAATTCCAACTTTCTAAATTCCCTAGGGATCTCAAGCATGGACCCACAGCACCCCCAAGGGGTGAAAACGAGGATTACCACGCCACCACCTAAGGACTGTTACTCACAAAAGATCCCAGGAAA